AGATTTCTCCCCATCCACTAGGACCTTATCAACGTCCCCCACCACTGCTAGAAGTCGCCAGAGCCCCTTGGACTCACGCACGTCACCGCACATGCTTGAATACTGTGTACAGATGTGGTCTCATCTAAGAAAAGATATACTGGCATTAGAAAAAGTTCAGAAAAGGGCAACTAAAATGATCAGGGGTTTGGAACAGGTCCCATATGAAGAGAGGTTAAAGAGACTGGGACTTTTCAGCTTAGAAGAGAGAAGACTAAGGGGGAAGATGATAGAGGTCTATAAAATCATGATTGGTGTGGAGAAAGTGAATAAGGAGGGAGGGCTAGCTCAGTGGTATGAGCATTGGCCTGCTAAACCCAAGGTTGTGAGTTCAATCCTTGAGGGGGCCATTTAGGGATCTGGTGCAAATCTGTCAGGGATGGTACTTGGTCCTGCCATGAGGGCAGGGGACTGGACTTGATGATCTCTCAAGGTCCCTTCCAGTTCTGTTTCCATATTTTAAAACTTATTTACTTGTTCCCATAATATAAGAACTAGGGGCCACCAAATGAAATTAATGGGCAGCAGGTTTAAACACAAACAAAGGAAGATCTTCTTCATGCAGCGCAACGTCAACCTGTGGAACTCCTTGCCTGAGGAGGTTGTGAAGGTTAGGACTATAACAGGGATTAAAAAAGAGAGCTAAATAAATTCATGGAGGTTAAGTCCATAAATGGCTATTAGCCAGGATGGGTCAGGAATGGTGTTCCTAGCCTTTGTCAGAGTGGAGATGGGTGGCAGGAGAGAGACGCTTGATCATTCCCTGTTCGGTTCCCTCCCTCTGGGGCACCTGGCGTTGGCCACTGTGTGCAGACAGGACACTGGACTGGATGGACCTTTGCTCTGACCCCGTCTGTCCGTTCTTATGTTGTGAGTTAAAGGTTTCCTAGGGTGCTGCTTTGCTCTGGCTCTCAGAGGTTGGCTGTGTCGAGATCAGTATGTCAGTTCTAGGGCACATTGCTGTAGGCAGCTGAGCTTTAAGGTGCTCCCAGGAGGAGCCCAGCACCAGCTCTCATTGAAGTCAAAGCCCCTTGGAACACTGCAGGAGTCTGAGTCCGGGGGTGGACTGGGCCGTGGAAGGTGAGTGGTGGGAGACATTGCTATGAGCTCCCACCCAGCTGCTCAGAGGCCCCAGGCCTTGGCGTTTTGCTGTATGACTGGTCTTACCGGCCTGGCTAACGCTCTCCTGTTGCTTTGTCTCTTCAGTCCGAGAACACGTACCTCTCCCAGATCTACAACCTGACCCTGCTGTGCATGGAGGACTACGTCATCGAGCCTCAGTCGGTTCAGTTCCTGGTGCAGCACGGCTTTGACTTCAACAAGCAGTACGCACAGGGGATTCCCTACCACAAGGGCAACGACAAGGTACCTGTGTGAACTGGGGAGAACCCCTTCCTCGTGGTCCCCTTTTGTCCTACAGCTCTGCTCTAATGGCTGCTCAGGTCCAGCCCTCCACGCCAGAGGAGGAAGTCTCCTCGCCGACCCTGTCTGCTTCAGGCTTTCGGAAAGGGAGAAACGTTGGGGTTTGGAGCTGTCGGTAGGGAGGGAGGCAGAGGTGGATTGTGCTGCTCCGGTAAGGAGACCCAAAGCACTTCTCTCTCTTCTTGTGGCTGGTGTAAACGGAGAGCAACAAAGCCGTACGTTCACACGTCAATGGTTAAGCCAGGTAATTGCGTCTGGAGTAGCAGAGTGTCTTGCTGGGTGCCGCTTTCATATCGTATATCAGGCGTTGAGTTGCTATATGGCCCGTGTTCTGGTTCAGGTGACCAAAGTCCCACAATGTGCACCAATGTCCCCAGCTGCCATGGCTTGTGCGGAAGCTGCCCCTGAGCTTTGTGGGAAAGGGAAGCCAGGGATCTTCCGCCTCGGAAGAGTTTGTGATTTGCTTGCGTGCTCCATTCGGCTTCCCAAGCTTCCTCGGGGGTTGAAGTTGCATTGGTGACGGTGACGTGCGTGAGCCCAGAAGCGACTTCCAGCAGCAGTGGGGGCTGTTGGTAAGGTCCTAGTGGATGGGGAGACGTCCGTTTTCCACAGTCCTCTGCAGCGCCTGGACAGGTGCACAGAAATGCCTTGTGGATTGAGTAGCAGTGCTGGCGGCTTGCTAATCCCAAGGACCAGGAGAGGGGGCTGTGTTTTGCTGGGAGCCTCTTTCCCCCTGTCCAGAGGGCGCAGTGGCAGGGGCTCGCCTCAGTAACCGAGGCTGGGACGGGCTGCCAGGTGGGGTGGGTGAGCCAGTGGCAGGGGCGGCTGGCTGGGCAGATCCAGGCTCACTAACTGGACCCCTTCCCTTGCCAGGGCAATGAGAACCAGAGCCAGAACGTTCGTGCTTTCTTCCTGGAGCTGATCCGAGCAAAGAAACCCCTCATTCTGCACAACGGCCTGATAGACCTGGTGTTCCTCTACCAGTGCTTCTACGCCCACCTCCCTGACAGCCTGGGCACCTTCACGGCCGACCTTTCGGAGATGTTCCCAGCGGGGATCTACGATACCAAGTACGCCTCGGAGTTTGAGGCCCGCTTCGTAGCCTCCTATCTGGAGTACGCCTACAAGAAATGGTAGGTGACGCCTCGTGCACTTGGACGGCTTGGGAGAGACGTTGCTGGTTTCCAGACACCCACAGCTGTGGGTCTTCCTACGCGACCCTGCTCGTACCACCTGGAAAGTCTCCTCGGAGATGCTCCTGTGGGTCCGCGCTGGGTCTCTCCCCTGATGTTCCTGCCTCAGCCTTGGGGCAGGAGGACGAGCTCCGATTTCCATAGAGCCAGGTGCAAAACAAGCTCATGGCAGCATCAGGTTTGGTCTCTGCAGAGTCCCCTTGTTAAATGATCCATCAGAGGAGTCAGGGCAGCTGGAGGTGAAATTGAAATGTTGGTGTTGAAAATCCAAGTGGTTGCTGATGGCCCTTCGGCTGCCCTGCAAACAGGTGCCAGATTCTACAGTGTTAGGTCTCTTTCTGTGCCACGGCCTGAACCCACGGGGGTCTGACAGGTCTCGCTTTCCCGGGAGGGGGGCGTGCTCCTTGTTCCGGGGTGTGAGCGTTCCCTTCATCCCACCCAGAATCTCCTGATAGGGGTGTTTCCTGGCAGGCCTGAGTCGGAAGCAGCCATGTCCCTCCCCTGTCTCTGCCATAGCTAACAGCCCCAGGGCTGCGTGGCTCCACACCCTGACCTAGGCTTCAGCTTCGGTGGGAATCTGGCCCTGAACTGACAGTGGTGCAGCCCGTTGGAATCTCTCCCCTCAGCTTCACCCAGTGGTTTCAAAGCCTGTTTTGGGAACTAGGAGGCAGGAACTGTGGGAATCTGCCGGCTAGTCCCTAGCGCAGCCCTGGGACTTCCCTCTTTTCTGAGGCTCTCTTCTTCCTGCTCGCTAGCACTCCCCTGGCGCTAGCGGGAGTCGGCCACACTTGGCACTGATCCCCTAGGTTATGCTGGTGTGTGCCACGGCTGCGCGCGCGCCTTCTGAGCAGCGCTAGCCTAGTGCCTGGAGACTGCTGCGCATGGAAAGAGCCGTCTCTCGGTCCAAAGGGAAGGACAGAACATGTCCCATGGGGAGGAAAATAGATAGCGAAATGCCGCCTCTGAGCACAGTTCCCTTTGGCTGAATCTCCCACCGCCCGTCTCCCCGCACAGAGCTAACAAAACCCTCGTGTGTTCCAGCAAACGAGAGAATTGCAAGCGGAGCGAGTCCAGCAGCCAGCACCTCTCCATAGAGTTTTGTAACTACCCCGCGAGCATGTCTCCGTACATAGACTATCGCTACTGCTCCCTGGCAGACACCGAGCCCAACGTGGCCGACACAAATAAGGTCCCGGTCTGCGAAACGTTCTCGGTGAGTAGCATTAGCACCGGGGTCCTGCGGGCACAAGTGTAAAAAGCGAAAGCATGCAAAATAAGCGGTGTGGGGAAGAGAGAATGGGACCTTTTGCTCACCCAGGCTCCTCATACAATGACACTGAAAGGCAGAACGCAGGTCACTGAAAAGGAAACGTTCTTACAACCCCCCGTTAGTCTTTGGAACTCCCTGCCACAGGGCGAGCCATGAGTTCGGTTGATTTTGAAAGGGATTGGACACTTGTATGGCTCATGGGGTATCACGGAAGCTGTTCTGGAGGGGATGGAAACGCTCCTGCTTCAGGGGACGTGCCAATTTCTGACTAGTGGGGGCTAAGAGAACTCTCGGGGGCAGGACAGCTGCCTCTAGGAGGGTTTCTGATACCTTCCCGCAGGGAGAAGGAACTGTCTGCAGGCTGCTGAACTGGGTGGCCCGCCGGCCTGAGGTGATGTCCAGCCTCCTGCGCTCTGTGGTGTAACGCCACGGACTGGCCTGTCTGACCATGGCCAACGGGATGAAGTGTTCCCACTCGCACAACATCGACCTCATTCTCGACGAGGACGAGCGCTTTAAAGAGGAGAAGCGGAGGAAGCGGAAGCAGAGGTGGAGGCGACGGAAGAACGCAGCGGAGCCCCCGAAAGAGGCTGAGCAGGGAAGTCCGGGAAGGGAAAAGCACATGGCAGTGGCTCAGAACGGGGAGGACGGGCCCCCGCCGAAACAAAGCTGCCCGGGCAGCCTGGCGGCCGGGACGGCCCCTGCTCACGCGGAGCCAGCGGGGAGCGGGCCCAGGGAGGAGGTGGAGAGTTCGATTGACATGGAGCGGGAGCCTGGCTCTGAGAGTGCGACCGACGTCAAGATGGAGGAGGATGGGGGGGGTGCCACAGACCTGGAGAGCAGCGCTTGCTCGGCTGTCTCCCCACTCGAGTCAGATGTGGGGCTTGCTGCCAGAGGAGGCCCCTTGGACAGCGCCCAAGGTGAAGGGCAGCAGGTGGGCACCGAGGAGCAAAGCTCAGCTGCCCACGGCGAGAACTGTGCTGGGGCTACCGCTGCGTCCTCCGCCGGGCAGCGCCTGGAGCCCCCGGCGAGCCGCTCGGAGGGGGGCATTCACCGAGCCGGCTTCGATGCCTTCATGACTGGCTATATCATGGCCTACGTCTGGATGCTCAAGAAAGGGGAGGGCAGAGACGGGGGCCCGGGGCCCTGGCTGCCAGACTGCCACAACAAGCTGTATCTCAGTGGGAAATCTGTGCCGCTTCACATAGTGAAGAGCTTGTTTTCCAAGTCCTCCAAAGCCCACGGCCAGAAAATGAAGCTGGCCTGGGCGAGCGGCTAGGCCCAGGAGACGCTTTGTCCCCCGGCCGCTAGAGACTCTGCTCAGGAAGAATTTGGCAGGAGGGGAGCAAGCTCTTAAGTCGTGTTTTTATTTCTATACAATTAAATGGCACCCTACCTGCCTTCCCATCTGGTCGGTCTCCCCCAGGGCTCAGGGTAGCGCGCACTGGGCAGCGCCTGTGTTGGGGGGAGGGGAGTGCTTGCTTGTTGCCAAGACTTCCACCCAATGAACGGCACGGGGCTGTTCCTGGAAAGGACCGACAGCCCCACGCTGAGGTCCCTGAGGTAGCTTTAACAGCTGGCTGCCCCCTTCACAAGGGGCAGGCAAGAGGAGGGTGCTGCACTAGCTAGACGCATTCTTGCCGGGGAGGGGCAGGAAGAGGCCGGCTCTGAGCTATGGATTCTCGCTTGGGCTTGTCCTTCCTGCTCTGCTTGTGGGTGGGGGCCACGTGCCTGCTCAGCTCCCCAGGTGTCCTAGTCCTCCAAGGTGTGCGCTGAGGGTGCGCATGTTCCTTCCCTGTCCCAGCCAGGAGCAGGGAAGGGAGATGCTGTTCGAACAGACAGGACCTCTGTGGCCTGAGCCCCCTCCCCCATTAACTCTTCCCCCCACGGCTGCAGCTTCCCCCTGCCCAGAGCGTTCCCCTCGCTCCGCAGAGAAAGTTCTATGAGCGCAAGAGGGTTGCGAATGGGAAAGGAAGGGGGGGGAGTTGGGAGCCCTCAACCAAGTGACCTGAATTCCTTAGCTTCAGGGGGAGGGGCTGAGCGCTCAGTTCCCGGGACAGCACCGAGTCTGCAGGCGGCATTCAGAGCACGTGAAAGTTCAGCTCTTCAGCCACGACTGCTGGGTTGGGAGCGAGCTTTGAAAAACTCCCCTGCAGCATGGAGCCAGAGAACAAGGGCCGGGCCCGGTACCTGCTGCTCTGAGCAGGGGTCTTGGAGCCGCCCACAGGCTTCCTGAGAGTCCTCGAGCGATTAGGCCTCTGTCTTGCTGCACGTGCATATTTCGTTCCTGTTTGGCTTGGACCACGGCTGCGCTGACCTGCAGGGCCTGGGCGAGCCTAGAGCAACAGGGAGGGGTGGATGCTCCGCTAAGCCAGGATCTGCCAGGGGAAGAGGAGCCCTCGGGCAAGCCCCAGCTGAGGACAAACAAAACTGGACAAACCAGGTGCTGTTTCTCAGCCACTTCCTGCTCATAGGGCCTGAAACTTGGACTGCACATTCCTGTCAGTGCACGGAGGGGGTGGGGGAGCAGGGAGGCCCTCAGTTGGTGGGCTCAGTGCTCTGGAACAAAGCCAGGACCCCAGAGGAGCGTGTCTCCCCTCAGGGCGCACACTCACCAGAGCAAGCCTCACTGGCTCCACACCTCCCAGGCCTGGCTCTGGTGCACTTAGTGCCCGTGTTGATTGTGTGAGCCTCCTGAATGGGATCCCTGGGGCAGCCTGCCATGCACGCCACCGCTGCAGGGACTCCGCTAGCTTGGAAAACAGGAGCTTCTAGTCAGGAACAAAGTGAAGAACAGAGCTTGTGAGGAGCTTTCAGGAAAGTCCATTTTGGGGATTCCAGGGGCCTGGGATAACCCCCCAGTCCCATCTCTCCCCCCCCCCCCCCCCCCCGGCCACACCAGCGC